GTCGGGATAGGCGCTGTCCCGGGCGAATGCGGGGTCGCTGATGAACCCAGAACACCGGGCCCACCTGGAGGGTCACAGGAGTGGGGGGCGCGGCGCCAGGTGGCGAAGTGGAGGGGCCAGGGTGCCGCGGCAGGGGTCGCGAGGAAGAATTCTTGCATGAGCGCAGCGTTAATCACAATCATGGCGCAATTTGGGGCAACCGAGTGTCGGGGCGCATCGAGCAGGAGAGAAGCTTGTAGCAAGAATACGCCGAGCTATATCTCATGGAGATGGCCCCCAACAAAGAAGTCAATGAAGAAACCGTGAGGGGCCGGGGAAGTGGGATGGAGACGAGTGCCGTTGCCGTGGATTCAGGGGGCCGCAACCCTGCTTGACCCCCAAGCGTAGGAACTCGCTTCCTGGTTAGACCCGCGGAGGCCTCCGATAACCGCGCCCGTTGCAGCGCGGCGGATAGGTCAGGCGCAATGATCCATTGGCAACGGGTTGTCGCTGGGAAGCATGAAAAGTAATCCGTGGTAAGCATGCCCATCCCAGTGGCCGGTGCCGAAAAAGTGCTAGGGTCTGCTCGCGAGATGATCGACGCGGGACTTCGCGCGGCGTTAGGTCGAGACAATGACGGGCGATCCTGCAGCTACCTGGAGCACGAGGCAACAGGGCAAAAGACGACGACATACCAGAAAAATGCCGATTTCCAGTTCGCCAGCCAGGCCCCGAACGGAGTTGCGAGTCGAGAGGGGGCGAGACATGCAAACGTGGGGCTGTCCCGGACAAGGGGCCCATGGCGGACCTGTTCCACTGAGTCCGCCCGGGCCCGCGGGCCCCAGTCGCAATCTAGTCGTCGCGATTATGGGGGCGACCGAGTGGGTGAAGAGGGGGGCAGTGGGCAGTTAGTCAAGTGACATCGAGGGCGCGTTCGTGGGGGGCGAGGCTGATTGAGGGAATCGCGCGCGACTTGATGCCGAGTATTTGGGGCAATCGAGTTTGACGACAGTATTCGTTTACCACGCCGGAGCCGGCCCCCCCGCTGCGTTAGAGGGGGGGCAGGGGGGGGGGGGGGGCGCGCAGTCGGAGGATGGAATCGCGGAAGCCTGGTAGGCAAGGAGCGCTTGTGATCTCAATCGACCAAATGTGGCTCGGCTGCGAGAAGGGAGATGGTGAAGAGGAAGGAAGGGGGCATCCCATTGTAGTCATGCGCTGCTGGGGCGCGAAGTTAACCAGGGGCCGCGTTCGACTCGAGGGGGGGTCTCTTATTCGATCAAGGTATAGTTCGGAACGCGGTCTCATTCACCGGCCGCGAGAGAGTAATCCTCAGGAGCGACGATGCGCCATCCATCGCGGTGCTCGAGGAGGCCGTCGAAGCTTCGCGTAACCTAGACTTGGGCATGGAGGTCAGCCCCGTCGGAGATTCTCGCCCAAGCGGGCCGAGAGAAAAATTGGCGTCGAGGAGTGTCTTGGGCGACGAGTGCGAGGTTGAGTTCGGGAAAGATCGCGCGGTCATGCCCTGGTCGGTTGCTTGAGCGTTTTCTTCATCCACAGGGTCGCAATTCACAATGACGCAGCTGCCGGTCACGAGAGGTACTGTTTGGGCCAATTCAAGGAGACGTTGCTGGAAAGTTGGGGATGCGTCGTCCATCGGAAGACTCCCCCTACTGTGGGGGACAGTGCCGTCGACGCCGGATGGAAGAGTGGAATATTTCTGGGAGCGCATGAAGCAAGCCGGGTGTTAATCGCCGGCGATAGGGGCGGGGCCGTCAAATCCCGCGAGTTCAGTCGCGCGGGAAGTGAGGGGGAGAGATGGGATCTAGAGGAAATCGCCTACGTAAGGGTTGATTTGGCAGCCAGATCTCAACGCGCTTGCAGTGGATGTTAAAGCGCGGGCAGAATTCCGCGCGGCGGTGCCTGACCAAGATTCGACTCTTGATGCCGGGCTTTTCGTGGTCCGAGGGATAGATGCAAAGGAGTTGGGGCGCGCGGCAACGGGGCCGGCTCCGGGGCGCCATGGCGGAATTCCACGATGGGGGAGATGCCGCGCGCGGGCAGCACGCGGTGCAAGTTGTCGAGGAAGAGTTATCGAACGGTGGCTTAAAGGACAAAACGATCCGAACAATCAGGGGGCATTAGCGGCGGCCCAGACCTGGGCGGGGCCCGACAGCACCATGCAAGACTATAACAGGGAGTACCCATTGACAGACACGTGGGCGTCTTCAGACGGGCCAACCATCCGACGGCGCCGTGGGCCGAGACGCGCGCTGAGATTAATAATAATGAGAGCGCCAACAACATTGGGCAATGAGAGACGGGCGCGTCTGACCAATCAGGAATCGGGCGAGATGGAGGACATGGCCGACGGTTGGAGAGACGAAGTTGAGAGGGGGAGTCACGAAGGTTTTGGACGAACGGATTGAATTCCGCGCTGTCTCTGGAGGCGATGGTGACGAGCGACCGGCTGAGCTGTCTCCGCCAAGGTCAGCGGCTGCATTCAGAAAGCCAGAGGGCCCTGGAGACGACGCGAGGACCAGAGAATATAAAGAGGAAGGGGGCGTGGACGAGGAGATGCATCGTGGGCCCCCTGGAGCCGGAGGGGGCGAGGGGCCCGGCGACCAGAGCGCGGGGGGAAATGCGTCCCAGTAGGTGGGCGAAGAACCGGAGCATGTGAACGTTGATGAGGCGCGCGCCAGATTAAACATGTTGGGGTTTGATGCCGTTGTGGCGGAGTGGCTACTCAGGGCCGTTTGGGCGCCATCCGACAAGTCCCTGAAAGTAATTAGGAGCAGCAAGGTTAAGCGGCAAAGGCCATCACAACCTACAGTCACATGTTTATGGTGCCTATTCGCCAGTCCGAGGTGCTGGCATGGCGGAAAAATGAGACCCATGCCGGCGTCGCCCATGGACTTCACTACGCGCGATGATCACGGGGGGCCATGGGATTCTATCTGCGAGGTGAAGCGAGCGAACGGGAAAATAATTATCAAGCGCGAGTCCGCATAATTGTCGGATGCGTGTCCAATGAGGGCAGCCTCCAGAACGATAGATGCCTTCAACTCGAGAAGACCTGGGTTGGAACAGACGAGCGAAGTGTCGAAGTGCGGGATCGAGCGCCTCCAGTTTGCGCTGAAACCATGTGGGACCGGGAGAAACAACGGTCTGTATTTTTCTCCTTGAAGCTCTTCTGGTGGCCTCAAGCTGGACCGCGCTGCCAATGTGGGGCACGTTGAAGCGCGAATGCGCGCGCGATGGCGATCTGCGCCAATATGGCCCGGGGTAGGTGGCGCGCGGAGAGGAGGTTCTTAAAGGGACCCGCGCGGCTCATGATTCACGGCCCCTCGGCGAAATTTCAAGGTCAGCATCGACATGTCAGGTTAATTCGAAGGGGGCCGGGCGAGGATATCAGGGGTGTGCCTGGACAATCCATGTCGAGCTATGCTCGGAGATCTGGTTAACCAGATGATTGTTGACGACTGGTTAGGGTGTTCTCTCAGAGCCTGCGACCCGGAAGTTAACTGGAGCGAACCGGGCGAAATAATGGGAGTTCATGAGGAGGTGCGAACGCGCTGCGAGTGGGCTTGAACCTGCGTTAGCCTGGAGCACGCAAGATTGCGGCACCTCTGGCCGAATGCCGCCAGGAAGTTCGGGGCCAAAATGACCGTCCTGCCTGCGCAGAGATATCCGGGGCGCGGACGCCGGCCAAGTACTTGAGGACAGGGAGGTCAGCGATATTCGGGGGCAGGAGCGGAGTAGAGAGTTCAGAGAGGAATCGCGTAATATCGCCACTGAATTCGCATGCCGGTTTACGCCGGGCGCCTGGCCATGCCCGAGGATTCGCGGAGAGTGCCGACGCCACGGCTGGTTGCGAGTTCCAAGGACATGCGAGGATCGTGGAACTGTCGGCGGTGTAGAGCCAGTTGCCAGAGATGACGCGTGCGTTGTTCAGCGCGACAATGGTAAAGTGCGGGCTTCGGACGAAGCATCAGGGAGCGAGCTGAATCCAGAGCTCGCGTCAAGGGATCGGGAGGAGTAGGTGGAGCAATGTAGGATGCACGGAGTCTATCTGAAAGTAAGGAAGGAGGAATGGTGGTCAGTTGCCGGTGAGGCTCCCATTAGCACGAGGTGGATTGATATCAACAGTGGTGATGAGGCTAATCTCGCGTTCCGATTCCAGCTAGTGGCCGAGCAAATCAAGCACAATTCTAAAGGGATGGACAGCTTTGCAGTCAACCCTCCTGTGGACACTCAAAAAGTGTTATTATCTGTGGCGTTTGCCGAAAATGATAGGGTGTAACCGAGGGGGGGGCGGAGAAAGGACGCAAGCTGGTATGTTAAGCGGGCACACGTTTACGCCCAGGCAAAAAGATTATCTTCATGCGGTTACCCGAAGAAGATCGCGAACTTGACGTGCGTGGGCGACTATTGAAATCAATGTGCGGCGCCCAGGTGGCCCAGGACGCCGCCAGCAGTTGAGAAGATTGTTGCATGGAATTTGTCCGCGATATTAAAAAGCGTTACCAGGTGCGTTTAATCGTATGACACGGCGAATCTGGTGAATGGTGCATGGGGACGATTTTGTTGTATTGGGTTCGCACCTTCAGTGCTAAAATGGAGTTTGGGTTTGCGTATACCCGCTTACAGTCGCCGCAGGGCGACTTAGAATTTGTGTTATCACCGTCGCAGCTTTTCGTTACCCAGTCGCTGCAATTGTTTTACAACTCGCCCGTCTCCACACTCAGTTTATCAACCGAGGGGAGGGTCGATGACAGCGTTCCGAATGGGTGAGCAGTTTGTTCCTACAGCATAGCAGCGAGCGTAGCGGACACAATTTGATTTGGACCGCCTGGCGCGCGTCGACCGACGCCGTTTGCCTCCAGGGGCAAATGCCCCTGTCATATTTGCAGGAGGACGACGAGAGGGGGAGGAAAAGGGAGGCAAGGAAAAGGGCCAGGGAGGAGGGGAAGGAAGAGGGCGAACGGGACAGATGCGCGCGGCCCCCCTCCTTTTTCCGGAAGGCACGCGAGCTCTGGAACGCTGTCGCCCGCCAGGGGGTGCAGTGGCAGAGCCTCGCCCGCAACGCGGAAGAAGTGGACTCGTTCGAGTGGCGGACTGGCGGCGGTTCCCCCCTTGAGGGCGCCATTGCTGACTCCTCCTGCTTCAATTTTTCTCTCCCATCCAAATATAGGTCTTTCTAGCGTTATGTGTACTTGGAGTACCCCGCTTCAGATGCAAATGTAACTGTGTATATGTGTATGCATGTGTACATATATTTACACACATATATATAGATATATACAGATCACCGCTCATATTAACGCATGCAGGTGTGTACACATGAATACACATGTAGACATGTATTTATGTGTGTATGCATGTCAACACGTTCAGATGCATGGGTGTGTGTATCATGCATGTGTGTATGTATTGGTAGGTGTAAGTGTAGGTGTAGGTGTAGGTGTAGGTGTACATGTATATGTCCATGTATGTATGTATGGATGTGTATGTACACAACAAAATTGTGTATGCTAAGGCTTATGTATGTATATATGATGTATATATATATATGTATAAATAGGTATGTGTAGATATGTGTGTATATACATACGTACACATATATACATATATATATATATATATATATATATATATATATATTCCCTTTTCTATATTTTTACAATCCGGGGGGGTGAGAATCCCCCCCCCCCCCCGAAAATCGGACCCCCGGGATCTGGCGCTTTTCGGGCCCCCTGGACGCCTTGCAAGGGGTCCCCCAGGCCTTCCGGGCCTCCTGGACGCCCCTGCGGGGCCTTGCCAGCGGGCCCAAAGCGGTCAGGAGGGCGGCCAAACGGCCCCGCGAGAGCCCCACGCGGCCCCAGACAGCCCCAAGACGCCCGAAGACGACCCAAAGAAAACCCCCAAGAGGTCCTCCAAGTGCAAAAAAAACAACATTTTCCTTTCCTTTTTTTTGCTTTAAAAAGAAGGAATTTTTGGACATTCGGTTCTTCGGTATTCCGTGCGTCCGAGTCCGCCGAAGAGGCCCCAAAAATCCTCCCACAACGGTGTCAAAGGGCTTCCAGACAGTCCAAAAGAGCCCCAATATGGTCCAACAGGGCCGCAAGATGGCCCCAAGAGAGCCCCGCTGACAGCCCCAGATGGCCCCAAGACGCCTCCCGAAGCACTCCAAATCGTGACCCGGTCGTTCAGGGAGACCGTGGTTGGTAGCAAGGTGGCCGCAAGAAGCCCCCAGAGGCCCCCAAAAGGCGCCCAGGAGGCCCCCAGAGGTCCCCAAAAAGCTTTTGAGAGGGGCCCAGGAACACCTCCAAAGAGGAGCCCCTGCAATAAAAACTGGGGATGAGGACAAGGAGTGGCTCGCAGACAAGGAAGATTACGAGTAAGAGGAGAGGAAGTATAAGGATAGTACATAACATTACTATAACGACGATGGCGCAAACGGCAACAATGAATCATCGCTATACTTGGCTCTCCTGCATGCCGAGCTTCAAGAACCAAGGTGCATGGCGCGAAGCGCCAATGCAGTCTTGTATATATATATATATGTATATATATATATATATATATATGTGTGTGTGTGTGTGTGAACGAGCACGTTCTGTGGGGGCTGGGAATGGCGGGGCGAACCGGGATTCAGGGGGGGGAAGGCTCGAACCTGGCGGTGGGGGGAGCCCTCAAGTGAACGGGGGGGAATCGAGTCGGGTCGGCCCCCCACCCTGAGTTGCAGGGCGGGGGTCCTCGGGAAGGGGTGTTAAACATATGCAGGCCGATTTTCTGGATGGCGGGCCCTGGACCCGGGGCCCGCTTATTCATACATAGCTAATGTGTGTGTGTATGTGTGTACGTTTGTATGTGCACGTATGCGTATGTATGTGTTTGTATGTGAGTATGTACGTATGTATGTATGTATGTACGTACGTGTGTATGCATGCATGTATGTATGTATGTGTATATGTATATGTGTATGTTGATGTATATGTATATGTATGCACGTATGTATGTATGTATGTATGTGTGTATGTATGTATGTATGTATGTATGTATGTATGTATGTACGTACGTACGTATGTATGTATGTATGTATGTATGTATGTATGTATGTATGTATGTATGTATGTGTGTGTTTGTTTGTATGTATGTATGTATGTATGCATGTATGTATGTACGTATATGTATGTGTATACGTACATATATATATATATATATGTATGCGTGCATGTATGTCAGGTTGCATGATTACATGTATGCATGCATGTGTGTATGTGTGAATGTATGTATGCATACATGTATGTATGTATGTATGTATGTATGTGTGTATGTATGTGTGTATGTGTGTATGTGTGTATGTATGTATGTATGTATGTATGTATGTATGTATGTATGTATGTATGTACGTTTGTATGCATGTATGTATGCATGTATGTACGTATGTAAGTGTACTTGTGTATGTGTGTGTGGCTATGTGGCTATGTGTGTGTATGTATGTATGTGGTCATGTACGTACGTGCGTTTGTTTGCTTATCTGTGTGTATGTATGTATGTATGTATGTATGTATGTATGTACGTATGTATGTATGTATGTATGTATGTATGTGTGTGTGCGCCTGTATGTATGTATGTATGTACGTACGTACGTGCGTACGTACGTATGTATGTATGTATGTATGTGTATATATATATATATGTACGCATGTACGTATGTACGTTTGCGCGTATGTACGCATGTACGTATGTATGTGTGTATACATGTATGTATGTATATATATGTATATATATATATATGGGTACAGGGGTGGGGGCCTCGGGGGCCGGCGCCTCGTCGGCACATGGGGTCCACGGCTCGCCGGAGCCGTTCGAGAGGAGGCCCAGGCGGCTCCGAGACGCGCCAAGATCCCCCCCAGACGTGCCCAGCGTGGTCCACGACGGCAACCATTCGTCGACAGATCGCCCCAAGACGCCTCCCAGAGAGCCCTACAGGCCGCCAAAACGCCCAAAAAGGCACCCAAGAGGCTTACCCACAGGGCCCCAAGAGCAAAGAATGATTGGGTTTCCAAAGAAAAGAACATGTTCAGCAAATACGATGTTTCGGCTTTCACGGCGTGGACGACGGCCCAATAGGTCCCCAATGTAGCCCCAAGACGGCCCCAGAGGCTCCCAAGAGGCCCCTAAGACGGCCCAAGGGGACGCCAAGACGGCCCAAGAGGCGCCCACGAGGGCCTCCGTAGCCATTTTGGCTCAAGCTATTTTGGCTCAAGGTCGTCTGCTGAGCGCCACCAGCAGCGCGTCTCCCGACGGGCGCGGGCTTCGGAGTGGAGAGCGGCCCTGCAGGAATGCACAAGGAGCCCTTGTTGGCAGCAGGCAGGCGCCGGCTACCAGTGGATGGCATTGGATGTTGCCTCGCCTGGCACTCCTTTTGGTATCGATCTTGGGCAGCGACTTTGACAGAAGAGTATCTGTCTTCGCCTACCAGCCGGCGCAGGCTCTGGAAGTACTACGGCATCTTTGTGACGTGGTGTCTGATCGGGGACCTCGTCTTCGCCCTGACCATCCAGTCGAACCTAGATTATTGGTTCTGGTGCGGTTTTGCTACTTATTATGTGAGCGAATATGTGCTGGCAATCTTGTTCGTGCGCCTTCCCGTGACGACGTTGAAGTCAGATGCGTTAGTTGTTATTTATTTGTTTCTTGACCAATGGTTCAGTGTGGTACTTTGGCAACAAAGCAAGGATGCAAAGTTTATCCTTGAACGTTATTCGTGGCCCACAGTCGTGACGTGCAAAGTAGTTTTGTGCTATGCTGCCGGCTTGCATTCTCTGTTCGTCACACTTTACGCTGCTTGTTTTGGTATGTTTATTTGTGTTCTGGTCTCTGTGAGCTGTGCGCCTGAGGTTTGCTGCCAAGTGTTTATGATCACAATCGTGATGACTCTGTTCGAGTGGCTCTTGGCATCGTACTTCCACGAGATGACGGAGCAGCTACGCGCCATGCAGACTCTGCTCGACAAAGCGACTGATGGCTACTGCACGGTGAGGAGGCAGATGGGAACCATCTCACACGTCAGCGATAGTCTCAAGCTACTCCTTGGCGGAGACCCGCGGGGAACGCACATACTAGACGCCGTCGGCTCGGAAGACCGCTGGAAGGTCGCGCGCCTGTACGACGCCAGCCAGTGGGACGTGGCAGAGCCGGTGCTGGCCACCTTCACCCAGGCTCTTGGCGAGGGGCAGCAGCCGCTGGAATTCGACGCGCGCCTGGTGCCCTATCGGGCCACTGGGGCGGACATACACATCAGCTTCCAGAGAGTCGGCGAGGTAAGAATGGTCAAGAGGGGCCTCGCCGAGGAGGTCGCGGGCCCCAGGGGCCCTGGCTCCTCTGGCGCCAGACCGCTCGACTGCGGAACTCCGAGCCTGGAGAGCCGAGACGTGGATCGCCTGCTCTTTCCCTCGCCAGCTGCTTTCCAAGAACATGCGCGTGCACAGCCGGCGGCGCTGGGCGAGGGCGGGCGCGCGCCGATGCAGAACGATGCGGCCGGCAATGGCGGATGCCAGAGTTCGGCAGAGACGGTGGCCGAGTTACACATTTCGTTCGATGCTGGCCACCCGAGTTTCCTCATCAACGACGGTAACTGCAGCCGTCACTTGTTGCCTCGTCAGGGGCAGCTGGTACGTTGTTTCCCACGTTCTGCGCGAGACCAGGTTGAGAAGTGGATCATTGACGCAGTGAACAACAGTGTCGAGCCTGGGATTTGTCCAGAGTATCTTGAACATTTTGAGCTTGTCATCCCCCCAACACCAGCGATCAAAATCATAGCAAAGCGAGCTTTCATCATGGCCGAGGATCCTGAGGAGAACGACACTGGTGCCATTTCGTTACCAGCCACGCTGTGCTTGGAGGATGTGGTGATGTCGCGGAGACATTGTTACACAACCCGTGCCAGGGCCCATTACAGTCAGGATCTATCCACAATCGTTGAGGATTTGCATCCCGAATACGATTCCTCATCGATGAACAGTAGTGAGGATGTAAGCCCATCTGACAGCGCGTCGGTTGTCCTGGCGAGCTTCCGTTAGATGGCTCGCACATGGACACCGTGTTCTTTTCCTCAATGTCCCCATTTCGCCTTCGATGTTGTCATTGCCTATCGTTGCTCCCAGTGTGCTCTCAGCCTTCTTACAATGGATAG